CGACTTTGAAAGTTAGCTTGTTCTACCGCTCCACCGTTTAACGATGTCGACTTTTTGCTGAGGCACATGCGGAGGCTTACGGAAAACGATCAAATCGACAAGAAGCGCTGCAGAGACACCCTGAGGCTACCACTACACTAATTAAAAGTTAAGTTAGCATAACCTTAAAATCCGATTTTATGGAAATTACAGCTCATTACGTGCAACCACTAACGTCAAAGTTTGAATTAGTTTCACTGCAGGGCACCACAATTACTAGTTTTTGTTTTACCTACTCTTAGACACTTCCGCTATGAATTTTTAATTAGACGAATGCCGTACTTGAGTATTATTATTATTTTACCAAATTTGGAAACTCTACTTTTGTAAATTTATTATTATGAACGTGAACTATTGTCAATTCACGACGTATCTTCTTAAACTGGTCATTCGTGAGGTCGTTTTCATTTTAAACAATCGCGTTCTTCTTTTACCATAAAAAATTAATCACAGCTATTTTACGTAGCCGCGCACTGAGTGAAGTTCCGATACCTATCTTTTGCAGATCTAAAAATGTGAAAGGAGATTCTCTGAATAGAGAAAAAGATAAGTTTGAATAAGAGAGGAGAGAGAGGAAAGTGCCGGTTGGGCAAAAGCCAGTCATCTTCGCTGGTCACATTTCCCTTATCCGACCGACTGCAAAAACGCTCAACTCTGCAGGGGTTTAAATAATGCGAATGAAAGCTCTTTGTTTCGTTCTTATTTAATTTGAAGAATAACAGCAATAACAATAGAGTCTATCGAATTTCCTTTGAATTGAGCTTGCTGTATCAGAGCATAATAAAAATTTTCCGCTTTGTTTTACAAATTTTGTTAATTTGATGGAGGTGGAGGATGGTTCCTGCTCTTGCGAAATTTTAATAAGGAAATACGGGGATTGTTACGAGTTTATTAACAGATGTTGCCTTGGCTCAACAGAGATCTCAATAAGCAACAAGCTGGAATATAACATTAATTGATATACAACTTTTCAGTTGCAGCCCACGTTCCATAAGGATTTCAGAAAAAAATGGCTTATTTTTTAATATTTTTGTAATGAGACTTGTATTTACACACTGTAAAATTAACGTTGAAGCAAGCAATATATTTTTTTTTTGTCAAAATGAGCCGATTTTCTGGAAGTGAACTGAAAGATATAGTGGGCAAATTTTAATTTAATTAGTACAAAAAAATTTCTTATAAAAATCAGACACCCGAATTTAAAAATTAGGTAATAAAATTGAAATTTTAAATCCCTTTCAATATGTATGCAGTTTAAAAATTAATTTATTCTAACTAGCTTTTCACATTGACAGAATTTAATATCAGCTATTATGAATTTATAAACTTATGAGTGCACAGCTCCTAAAATTCCAGTTCTTTTTTGTCTATCATGTTCCAAGCTAGAAATATAAAGTTCACTCTAATGAGGTACTTTTTTTGCAACGTCTACACTTTTAAAGAAATGAAAAATGTTAAACGACTTTTATAATGCGCAATATTACGAGAACAATACGACTAATGTAAATCTGGGTTGTGCGTGAGAGTAATCTTGAAAGATCTGAAGTCCGTCTGATCAAAATAAATCTTAATTGGTTTAATAATTACTCTAAAGGCCAGTAGTACAATTCAAGATAAGGAAAAATCTTGGTCACTACAAATGCTAGTCACTCTTGTACGCATAATTAAATCAATCTGTCTTTGCTAAGATTCACTTGATAGCAAAATAACACGACCGAATGAAATAATATATGAAGTAGAACAAAAATAAAGTCGGATCACTGTACATTCGAAACGTGTTCGTTTGCATTAAATATTTCTTCGTTTCATGTGTTAATTAAAATACGTGTTTGTAGTTATGGTCGATTAGTTTAACCAAACCAACATTTTAACACACGAATAATTATTTTAGTTTTATATGACTTCAAAAGCAGTGCCCTTTATATGCACAGAGTAATTACAAATGTACAGTATATGCAGTTTGTGTTTCCTTGTCTAAGAAAAAATGTACTTGTGAAAATTTTTGACCCAATAATCAGCAGACGGAATTTCCACTTGATCAGCACCAAATAAATTAAAAAAAAAAATTGTATATTTCTCCTAGACAACACAATATGATGGACATTACGAAGAAAACGCTTATTTAGTTTTATTCACGTAATTGGAAGGCAAGCAAAAATTCCAGTAAAATTATAAGTTCTATATTATTAAAAGAATATCAGAGTCCATTCTGCAGTCCACATTTTTATAAACATTATATACTCTTATTAGTTTTTTCTGTATACATAATATGTACAATGTTTCTTTAAACGTCTACCTAGTTAGATAAAGAAATGTTCAGATGAGAAGACGTTTGCACAGTTAAACAGACCAAAAATTTTGTAACGTAGTCAAAAAATGTTTTCCAGGTAAATCATATTCACTCTTAATTGTAACCATACGTTTGTAGGTTTTTGGTAAAAGTTGTAAATTTTTTAAACTTTATAAATAAATAAAGTCTACAAAATTAAATTTTACAATTTAGTTAAGAAACTGTTTTTCGAGAACTCGGTAAGTTTTGTGGAGTTCATTTCGAGGATATTTTTTGGCATGTGAGATTTTTCACCTTAAGTTTGTTGGTATTTTAAGGTTATAATGCGAGATTAGACGATCGGTACTATACATGTATAATAATAATGTTTCAACAATGAAAGTATTTTTTTGAAGAAGCTCTGCGTATGCTATTCTCTTAAGCTGATATCGCCTGCAGCGGAACATAGCTATCTCTATTACTTGTTTCGAACTATTGAATAGCGTCCAAGATCTTGCTAAACTTGTAAAGTTCGGCTAAAAATATGGTGTGTCTACGTCTAAAATTAAATAAACAAAAGCAAACAGTGCCATATTGAAATACTTTTTGTTTGTTGCTCTTACAATAGGTGAAGGTCTTGGCCAGGCAAACGGATTTACCGTACTCATTGTGACGAATTCGTAAAAATTCTCATGCTAATATTTTGTAGCAAGATGCTAAACGACTCGAATGGAGCTAATCTGATTTTGATTTTAATCCATCGTTTTATAATTCTATATAAAAGATATATTTTCTCAGCTCATCTAACAAAGAAAACAATCTCGAACAGAAACGACCGCGATATACGATGATCGAAATTGGCGGATGCGCCGGTCCAGCATCTTCATTCTTTCCCGTTCATTGTAGCAAATATTTCTCTCGTAATTATGCCGAACAAAGGCCGAACGAATTACCTTCCATTATAACCTCCCTAATGTTTTCTGTGTCCAGAAATTGTGTGCGGAACAGGTGTTCTCAAGAGCGAGTTCGTGGCAGAGAACAATACTCGATGATTTCAATATCAGCGAACAAAAAGGAGTTTTGACGTACGATTCAGATGCGTGTTAGGACAGATGTGTGAAAAGGGCCATCGTGGAGCACGTACAGGCCCGGACCGAATGACAAGTGACATTTATGAAGTAGGGAAATCTGTAAAAACGTCGATGGCGTATATTGGGAGAGGGAAGACTTATTTTCGAGGGGTTGCAGGTGGACCGGCTGTCGGATTAGCGATATAAAAAATAATAGAGGATTGGGAGAAATGGCCGGACAAAGAGCTCTGACAGGAAATTTTTCAAATTGAATTTTTTCAGGAAGCGGAATTTGAGTAATAACGGATGACGATAAAAAGGCACCTAAATTACGCCGAGATTTGGTTCTCTTATTTTCTGCATAAACACAGGAAACATCGAAAACATTCGTTGGTGTTTCTGAAATTTATTAAGCGAATTTTAACTCTGAGTTAATTGGAGCGTACATTTTTTCCACTATTAGTATTTATTCACCTCATTTTATTATGTACCTACGTAAAGAAACAATTTCATATACAGTTCAATATTACTAAATTAAGTTACTAAAAAAGGGTGTCATATTCACCAAATTTTGCAAACTGACTCTACGAAAAAAAAAATTAACAGATTTCAATAGGTGGAATTTACCTTGAAGACTAAAGAGATTACATATTTATTATCAGATTAGTTCCCAGCATTGATTTTATCTTAATTACAATGAATTTTTCTTCTGATCTACTAATACAGAGTGACGCATGATATGAAATAATTTAGAATATTTAATAGGTTTTTATTAGCGTTAATTTTTCGAGGATTCTGAGGGAAGAAAAATCGGTGGATAGAAATAAACAGGTGTGGGAGTCAGGAATAGGTTGGAGGGATTCTCCTGCATGAGATCAGGATAAATCAGGAAGAAATTTGTTTTGATTTTTTATCTCTTTTTATTTGGTTACTTAGAATAACTTTGATTTGGGGACTTAGAATGGGATGTAGAAAATTGTTCTGGACGAGAGGGGTTTGAAGGTAGGGGCTGGAATGCCGCTTGAGAAGAAGACGGAGGCAACTGTGACACAAAGAGTAAAGGAGATAGAGGGGTCCTTGCGGGCGTGCCTATTTTTGGAGTCGAGTAGAGTTGCCAAAACGGTGATTGACCAGGTATTGGGATTTTGGGGCAAGGTGGAGACCAGAGCATTGGAGCTAACGGTTGAGAATAGTTTTATGAAGGGAGGATTAAAGAACTGGAATCGACGGATAGGAAAACGTACGCTGTAGATGTCGGAGGTGCTAGATCTGGGCAGGGTAGTAAGGAAGTGTCAAGAAGGAAGGAAACGTATTCTGTTATGGTGAAGTCTAAGGATCCTGAGGAAGATGGGGATAAGATTAGAGAGAAAGTTAATAAAATGGATGCAGACGTGAAAGTGGAAAATGTGAGGAGGAACAGAAGTGGTGGGTTAATAATTGAGACGAGGAGTAAGGAGGAGATAAAGAGGAGAAAGTAAGTGGTGAAGACAAACCCGAGCTTTAATGCAGTAAATATTAACAAATTACATTCATGATAAAATAATTTTAAATATTCACAAACATATAAAGTTAAACACTGCGTCAGTACTAAACTACATCTATTAACAATACAAAACCTGAAATTAATTTACAGATTCACAGGCGTCGATCCAGTCGTTATACACATCCACTGGTGCTGAGAGAAGGTGTATTCTAGTTTGAAATGCTTCCAAACAAACTTCACACATTATTTTTCCTATACTTCGACTCTTATCCCTGAAAAAAAATACAAATTATTACATGTCCTAAAACAAGTTACATTTGTAACTGGAACATATAAATGGTTGAAAAAAGAAACAAATACTCACATTTTGACGTAGCAAGACTTCTCGTGATTGCAAAAGGTGCAATTAAATGCTTCATCCAATGGTACCACAGTTTTCCTCTTAGGAGCTAGCTTCCTTTTAGCACATCTACCCCCATGTTTATTTATTGAATTAAATTCTCTGGTACACTTTACTAAACGAAATCCACTTATCATTAAAGTTGGAAACTACAGCTGGGTACCACGTCGTTGCACTTTTGCAGTATACATAACAAATTACAAATCCCTGTCCTTAAATTTTTCGGTCGGATAAGCAAGGGATTATATTCACCTCGATTACAGTAGGCAATAAAGGGATTAAGTTGGGTAAATCAAAATCTGGCAGATCGTTTATCTGTGCTATTAAAAAGAAGGTTCAAGTTTAAAAAAAATCGTACTTTTTATACTGGAATAAATAGAATATTTTTTATTTTCTCAATGGTTTAATACTTGATATAAATTTGCTTGATTCCCTTAAAAGTGTTTGCTTGTGCCACTGTAATAATTTGATCATTTCAAAAAACAAAATTTTGACATTTGGCAACGTCCATTATACACAGTGTCCCATTAAAAGTCCGCGGAATTCTAGGGTCAGACCAGATAGAGATATTGAAAATTTCCAAACGCCATTTTTGGCTAGAACGGGAAAGCTTAACTTACATTACAAATGTTACGCATATATGCTGTGTGCCTTCTCGGGGAAAAGACACATTTGCGCTGTCCCTTTAAGCTAAAAATAATGGTGTTACAGAATTTTGATATCTCTAGCCGTTCTCAGCATATAAGCCGCGGACCATGACTGGGACAACCTGTATATAAAATTTATAGTTTGATGATTTAGACTTTTTGACAACTCGAATATACAGGGTATTCATTTTATCTTTTCACGCCTGAATATTACTGCATAGACAACCTATTTTACGTTTCATAAGCAGCTTTGATTAATTTTTGTTTTTAAATAATTTAAATTAATAATAATTACGTTAGCTTTAAAATGTTTTCGAATTCTGAAAAAACAGATATGCTATTAATGTTAGGAAAGTGTGACAAATATTTTGATGCTGCTGTTCGTCTTTGCGCCAGGCAATATCCCAATAGAAGAACTCCCTCAAATCAAGCGTTGAGAAAAACATCAAAAAACTTACCAGAATTTGGGTAATAAAAAAAATAAAGTTAGAAATCGAACTGTAACAATGCCTCTAAAAAAGTGCCTGCTCAAGCAGCACCGGGAGAGGGAAGAACAAATTCAACCAGGTAATTGAAAATCAACTTTTGAAATAGTAATGGTCCTAATAAATTGTATCTTTTCAGAAAATGAAGAAGTGGAGGCCATCCACGAAGAGGCCAAACGTTTGATGGAGTGCCTGGAGGAAGTCATCTCAGATAACTTTTAATTTTTTTTATATTTTTGTTTAAGTATTATTTATTTTTGTTTACGGTATTAAAAATATAGTATATTGTGTTTATATAGTATATTTTGTTTTATTTAAATACGATTTAACGTACGTATGATTTCCTGTGTGTGAAATTCAACAATACAGTGCCAATAAAAATCGAGCATATTATATGGCTATTGAGAATAAATCGAATCATAGCTACAATTTGAGAAACGTCTGTAAGAGTTAACGGCATTGTTTTCACGTGAAAACATTCATTAACTGCCAAACTTATAATCAAATGATGAAAAACACTCTTTGCAACGACAGCCTCCTTTATTGTTTTAATTAAGGAAATATCGTACTTGGTCTGCTTCTGTTATTTTGTTAAATTTATTTCTGGGTTTACATGCCTTCTTTTTTCCTCATTTGTACCTACATGTGTCAATAGTGAATGGTTCGTTAATAAAATAACGATCACTAGTTAAACTAATAATTTTTAAAGCGGTTTTGCGACTGTCCGGAATTTGGCCAATAACGCGTGGGTGTGGCGTACCTCGGTGCCAAGCCTGATAAATGTAACTTGGTTTAGAACGTGTAAAAAATTGTGCAGTTTATGTAGAAACCCTTCAAACAATATATTTGTATCAGAGACAAATATACGTACCTATACTGAATAAAGTGTGGAGTACTCTCGACAACTGATATCGTGCGATATTTGGATGTCTAGACTTCGAAAAAAAATGTAATTTTACCGTACATAAATGTAATAATTACCATATTTGTGATTTTTCAATTACATATTCGTAAAAAAGTAACAACTCAAGCTAGCCAAGAAGAGGAATGCAGCCGAAAAGTCCACAAGAAAACCCTTGAGCTGGCATAGAAGTCGGCGAAGAACCACAAAAAGTCTTCTAAAGAAGTGCCTGCTTAAGCAACGCCGGGAGAAAGAAGAACAAATTCAACCAGGTGATTGAAAATCAACTTTTGAAATAGTAATGGTTCTAATAATTTTTATCTTTTCAGAAAATGAAGAAGTGGGGGCCATCCACGAAGAGGCCAAACGTTTAATGGAGTGCCTGGACGCAATCATCTCAGACAGCTTTTAGATTTTTTATATTTTTGTTTAAGTATTGTTTATTTTTGTTTACGTTATTAAAAATATAGTATATTGTGTGTATATAGCGTGTTTTATTTTACTCAAATACGATTTAATGTACCTATGATTTCCTGTGTGTGAAATTCAACAATACTGTGCCAATAAAAATTGAGCATATTATATGGCTATTGAGAATAACATTCGCATTTTGGCAACTATAAATGCATATTAGTTGGAAATGTGTAGACACAGTTCTTTAACAAAGTAAAACAAGAATAAGTAAAAAAGAATAGAGATAATACGAGCACATATAGAACAAGTGTTCAAAACAATTGCTAACACATATGTATTAAAAATTTTACAATATTGTTAGGAAATAAAACCATACGCCACCCCGGTACGACGCCTTTAATCCGCCGAGAGCTGTCTGGTTTGTACGCCGATGATGACTCATCGACAGTGAGCGGCGGATCGCTAAAAGCAGCCTGGAAGCGTAAATCGCGAACGGCAATCTAGAAAGATCCCGATCACCCCACATCTAAAAGGAAGTGTGGGTTTAAATAGACTCTATCTTCCGGAACGAGGATATTCATTTAACGAGAAGAGTCCAGTCAAGCTGCGCCGCAATTATTTTGTGTACTCACTCTAAGCTGAGCTCTGTGTTATCAAACGTCTTTCCAGGACTTTTAAAGTTTTCTTCATCTTCTTATTTGGGTTTTACAAACAATATAAGATAAGTGTTACCATAATTTTCAATTCAGTGCTTTTGGGACCAATAATAATATTTTATCACTGTCAAGTTTTTTCTTTTGCGTTGTGTAACCCCTCTATCATTTTATGTTAGATTACATACAACTATTCACATAATAAATGTATAATGTTTGAATTTCCATATTCAGAATAAAAAAAAACTGTTGAAAATACTTTGTTGCCATGTATTGTTTTCGATTTCAATCTAACTACAAATTCCAACGAGTGGTGATCATTTTTATTTTTAGTACAAATACTTTTTTTCACTAGCAGCGACGAAGCATGCAAATGTCGACTCATTTAGCGGTAGCAAATTCAACTTTTGCGACCACCGGTTCAAAAAGAAGATTGAGGTTATGTACAATATATATAATTGATATAATTATTTCTTAAACTTATTATGTAATTACCATTACTTGAGTACACGCATAGTAGTTGGTAGACGGTGGAAGATAACATTAAGAGATAATGGAGATATGACAGCTAGAAAAAATTCTACAAACTTCAGCGACGATGATTTTCTTATGTATTGCGCCCCAAATCGTTACTTTCGGACTTTCGGACGCGCTATTTAAATTTGAGTGAAACTTTCAGAGTGCGACTGTTCGATCGTCAAGAATATTACCAACTTTTACAATATTCCAAAAGTGGTTAATTTTGCTTCTGAAAAGGCTAGATTTTTCATAAATGGAAAAAACAAGATTAAAAATATAACAATCATCAAGTTTATTCAAAAAATGTTTGTATTATTTCCAAAATTTTTTGGTGCTTTTAGGTTTACACCCTGATTAATTATTGTAATGTATTTTTTCATATGGTTTATATCATTATACTTGACATTCAACAACTGAATATATAGATAAAAAAAATATCAAAATAATCAAGTGCTTGTGCATTAGATTTCCGAATTCCTTAAAAATCAAAAGTATTTAGCAACGATTTTACACATGTTATTGAAGATATCCTCAATTTAAATGAGAGATACAACATTGTTACCATAATTAATAATTTCTAACCACCTCATAATGCCCTGGAAATAGATGGGACAGAGTACAGACAGTTTGATTTAGATGAACAAAATATTCTACGATACATAAGTATGTGGACACTTTTTGTGCAAGCGCTTAAAACAACACTCTTTTAAGATATGCCATGAATACACAGCAAATGCATCTGGAGACATTTTAGGGAGCACATTATTATGTTATTTACAAATCTACAATTCTGAAACTTTACCTTACGGCAATCTTAATGTTCCACATGAACAGTTTGCATATTACATTGATGGATTAGAAATTGCCTTCATTAATTCATTTAAATATAATAATGCACTTTTGCTTCAAGTTGGTACACATCTTAAAAATCATCTCCCCTTATAAGATGCAAGTAGCCATGTGGTAGTGGTAATTTCCCCCATGATTACCTTTTGCCCTTATTTGTGGAATTACGTGTATTTCATGCATTGAAATTCCACAATACGGAAACAAAGAAGCAACCTAGAAAACAGAGGAAATTAATCATTTTATCCCATTTATAGAGCATTTGTTAGTTCATTTGGTAGAATAAACAATAATCACATTATTATAGGTGTAAAAAATCGAATATTTACCAATCAATGTACCCCAATTATTATTCGTATACTTACCAACAATATATGTATTACTTGTAAACATTGTGGAATACGTAACTGTAATAAATACATACGCAATTCACATGGCTTCTTTTACAATTTGAATTCAAGAGTTCTCAGAGATCATGTTTTTCGTTCGTTGTCACTTTTAGTTCAATTTCTTACGGTGAGTGAATTCAAAAGCTGTCGTATTTCTGGCATGTGTAAACGGTTTTCTTTGTCTTGAAGATTTAGGTTAGGTTTGATTAAAAAAAAAACCAAAATCATGGAAAGTGGTAGAACAATTATTTAATGAACTTTATTAAACATAAGAAAAAATTGGCAATTATTTAAAATTGTAATTAATGGTACAGTTATGGCAAGTCATGGTAATTCCTCCAATGGAAGTGTTTGACAATTGATTTATATCTGTACTCATTGAGGTGCTAGTTAAGTTTGCCACAGGAATATTTATGGTAGTGTTACAAACATCTGAAGTTTTAGAAATTGGGCATGAAGAAGTTGACGGAATCGAAGGATCATATTCAGTGAAATCTGAATGTTCTTGGTGGGATCTTCCTTGCACCATTTGTGCAATTCTTTTTTATCTGTAATTGATTCCTCAATATAACCCTCCGCTACAGCGGAGGATTTCCAGCCCCCAAGGCGCTTCAATGATAAAATATCTTCGCCACATTCAGCCAACATTGTAGCGGAGGACCTACGTAGTGAATGGCCAGTATATAGCTCCGGATGTTCTAATTGCAAAAATTTTGCAATTTTATTGGGAGTATTACTAATTGTATTGTGCCCAATATTTTGTTTTACAGGTTTACCGCCTCGGAAACCAATTAAAACTTTTGGCATATCTGGACTAG